TAACTGCTAGAAGACCTGATATTGTATACAGTGTTGGAATGTGTGCAAGATTCCAAGCATGTCCTCGTGATTCACATTTGAAGGCTTCAAAACATATTCTAAGATACTTGAAGAAGACAGGGGACCTGGTCCTTTTCTATGCAGCAGGTGACACTTTTGATCTTGTTGGTTTTGTAGATGCTGATTTTGCTGGTTATCAAGTTGACAGGAAGAGTACTTTTGGAATGGCTCATTTTCTTGGATCTTCACTCATTTCTTAGGGAACTAAGAAACAGAATTTTGTAGTCCTTTTAACAGCTAAAGCTGAATATGTAGCAGCTGCTGCATGCTGTTCACAATTGTTATAGATCATGCAACATTTAGAGGATTTTGGTGTAATCATCAAAGTTATTCCTCTTATGTGCGACAATACTAGTGCAGTTAGTATGGGAAAGAATTCAGTTCAACACAAGAGAAATAAGCACATTGATGTTAGACATCATTTATGATAGACAATGTTGAAAAAAGGGAATCTTGTGCTTATATATTGTCCAACAGAGGAACAAATTGCATATATCTTCACCAAGGCTCTCAACAAAGATCAATTTGAAAGTAATAGGTTGAAGTTGGGCATGATGACCTCGCACTGATTTCCAGATACTCAATAGTTGAATTCCTTCGATGGCTAATCTTGTAGTGCACGTATCCTTTGTGTCAATAATATATTATCTGGATTAGATCATTTCGGTACCTATTGTAGGTATACATTCAGGAAGGACTAGCAAAGCAAAGACATGGCTAGAACAGTTGAGGAATGATGATAAAGTTGTGTTATGGGCCTAGTCCCAGTCAAGGTTAGCATTTTTACATTAATTTTAAATTGAAAAAAGGTGACCGTTCATAAAGCCATGTGTCAGTCATCGGTCATTCTGACAGTTAGTACCATCGCTTATTTTTCAAGCGATGCGTCAAATCAAGGGACATGGCACCGTTTCAATTTTTTTTAACTCTTATTCTTTCCTTTTAATTCTTAATTTGTCTTGCAATATTCCTCCACTATAAAAGAAAAGGGAAAGAAGAGAAAAGACGAAATCTATTTTTATCCCTTATTCTTTTTCTTCTAAAATTGTTACTCTTCTCTTCTTCTTGACAAAATGTCTGATCCTTCATCCGCCTCTAAGCAAATGCTTACAACCCTTAGTGGGATTGAACCTATTGCCTTTTATTCTCCTTCAGCAGTAGGGTCTAGGTCTAATATTCCTTCAAGTTCTTCCCAAGATATTCCTGAAAATTCGTTTCACTCCATAGATCTGAATAGCTCTAGTGTCCCAACTGGACCTGGTCCTCATCATGAAATGCTTTCAGATGCTTTGTTTGAAGGATATTTGCCAAGAAACAGATCTTCGGAGTCAAACATTCTTGCTGGAAGTGAAGAGATGGTGATTGAAAGTCTTGCAATGATGAGAGAGGAAGTTAGGGTCGAACAAAATGAACATTTTCAAAGCAAACAGATCATAGAGACTAAACCTATTTTTGATAAAACTCCAGATTTTGGGAGGTATCCATCTTCTAACTCCTCTTATTCTGCCAGTAATGATGAATCTATCCAATGGAACGTTGAAAGGAGAGATGTTAGTGTATCAAGAAAAGGTAGTGGAAGAAGTGCCTAGAAGGAGACCTACTACTAGATCTGATGCTAGAAAGTTGCTGGCTGATGCTATGAAAGCTAGTGCAGTCTACAATAGAAGTCAGGAGTACCAGAACATTCAAAGTGTCAAATTTCAAAATGCCTGAATCTGGTGTCATAGAGGTGTCTGCTGAAGAGACAGAAAAGAGGCACACGAAGAAAAAATCAGGAAAAACAAAGTCAAGAGATCTCAAAAAGGTTGAGAAAAAAAATCCATGAGGGAGAGTTCTAAAGGAAAAAGGAAAAGATCACAGGGACCTGGTACCCAAAGAAAAGTTGAAGAGGATGTCAACAAACAAGAAACTGTTGACAACTTGAGAAAGTAGTCTGTGCTGACTGGGAGAGTTTTTGACATGGGAATAATCAACCTTCCTGGAACGAACTCTCTTCATGACATGGTGGAGATTCAGTCTTGGATGCATCTCTTCAACAAAAAATCTCCTATTCTTCATGAAGAGGAAGTGCGTGAATTTTACTACAACATTCAATTTCAAGAAGATGGAAGTGTCCATACCAAAGTGAATGATATTGCAGTGCATCTGGATGAGTTTCTATCGGGGAAAATTCTTAAGGTACCTCGAGATAGTAACAGGTCTGTGATTGGGAAAACATGTTAGGCTAAGTTTGTGGCATTGGTCTCGAAGCTTCCCACAACAAAGTGTGCAGGGGTTTTTAAGAAGGTGATGAAAAGTGAGTATCAGCTGGTTTTTGAGTTTGTCAACAAAACTCTACTTCCTTGAACTGAAAAGAGGTCCTCAGCTACTTCTGTTGATTTGTATGTGATAGAGTTGTTGTGCAAATTTGTACCTCTGAATCTTCCAGGGCTCATGCTTGAACATATGTACAAGACTGTCATTGAGAGGAAAGGAATACATGGAATGGGATATGGAAACTTTCTCAAATGGGATATGGATACTTTCTCACTAAAGTATTCAAATGCTTTAACATTCCACTTAGCGTTGGCAAGGTTGGTACAGTGAAACAAGCTTTTTCAGAGAATACTCTGGTTGAATGTGAGTGCATTGAAGGAAAAGGAAATCCCAAGAGCAAAATGGCTCAACTCATAGAAGATCAGGACCAACTAAAGCATGAAGTTGAAGAATTAACTATGCGATTGAGTGGAAAAGATGCTGAAATTTCTATTCTCAAAGCTGAGCTGCTCACTGCATAGACAGAGGGACCTGGTACTTCTGTGGTTCAAGCCTTGGAAAGGGAAAATGCAGAGTTGAGGGACAAGGTTATTGATTTGCAAGAAAAGGCAATAAAAATAATGATGCTGCAAATGATAGACTCACTCTCATTATTCAGTCCCTTTCTCATCAGTCTTCCCTTCTTAGTCTGTCCCAATCGTTTTCTGTGTCTTCCTTGTGTGGCTTGTCTTTTTTTCATTGGATTCTCAGTTTGCTATTAATGTATTAAATGTTTATCTTGGAATGTTATTTATATTATTCCCCTGGTGTTCTAGCTACTATCTCTTGTGAATGCTTTCCTTTGTGTTTGATTGCTATCAAGCTTTGTCTTCTCTGATATTATTGTTGATATTATAGGTTTACTGTATCACTTTTTTATGATGCCAAAAGGGGGAATTTTCACTGATAAGTTGTAGCTGGACATGTTAGTGAGGTTGATTACTGTGAGGGGGAATACAGTGAAAGGGAAAAAAAATTTCTCTTCAGGAGGGTGGACAAGTAATTCAGGGGGAACTTGTTATGAAGCTGGAGTGGTGTATGGAGTATTGTTTGTCATCATCAAAAATGGGGAAAATGTTATTTATAAGTTTTGATGATGTGACATACTCAAGGACCTTGTAAAGGTACCAAGTTCTCAACATGAGTTTTGATGATGTGATAAACTCAGGGACCTTGTAAAGATACTAGGTTCTCAACATGATTAGCCTGTTGACTGTCAACTGGAGAAGGTACAGAAAGTGGGTGCACATTTCCCAACGGCGTCAGAAAAGTCAGACCTTTCCAACCAATGGCAAGAGTTTAAGGAAAGGGACTTGTCTATACAATGTCACTTTTCTTAACATCATTCTTTAGTTTTTGCAACTTGAAAAAGCACACTCAAGAACATTTGCAAAGGCTATAGAAAATCAAAGTGAAGAATTATTCTATAACAACTGAAAACTCAGGTGCATATCGTGTAGTTGTTTGAGAATATATTCTTGTGGTCTTACATTGTTAACTGTTCCTAAATGTATAAAGGAATCAGTGTGGTGAATGTTTATATTCTAAGTTGTCTAGAGAGATAGCTTAGTGGGTAGAATAACTTTTACTTAGGCTTATCAAGGAATAGAGTTATTGTTTGATTGTGAGATTTACAAAATTTTCTCACATTTGTGTAACTGGTTTTACATTTGCTTACGAAGATTAGTGAAACAGTTGTGAAAATCCTGTGAGACAGCTCGTGGTTTTACTCCCTTAAGCAAGGAGGTTTCCACGTAAAATTGATGTGTTGTTAAATTGCATTTACTTTCTGTTCATATTCGATTTTGTGTCAAGGGACCTGGTCCATTGACTGATAAGTGGACGCATAGATTCTAACAGGCGTCGATTTAGTTTTTCAAAGTTTCCGTACATTCTTCCAATGTCTACGGCCCTTTGTGATTATAGAGGTTTTATGCTTTATTGGGTAACTCAAGATTGGAGTTGTGCAAACGGAGAGCCTTTTATCGATGCCTTGGGTTAAATGTTATTCCACTGTAGTTTGGGTTATAGATGATACATGATACTGTTTTAATAAAATATATGGTAAAAGAAAAAATTACTATTAACTAAGTTTTGAAAAATCAATTAATCTTATGATTTAAGAGAAATCAATTTTCCAAATTAACAGAGTCACCACTTTATTTTTAGTAAAAATCAAGAAAAAACTTAAAATTATTTTTAAAAAATAAAAATCTATTGAGGATGGTTAGAAGATCAAATGTACATTCCGAAAAGGTGTTAGACCCTCTGAATGTCCGCTAACCTACGGTTGACCGGCGATTTGACTAAAATGACTTTTTAATAATTTTTAAATTTTAACGAATTAAGGAGACTTTATTTATTACTTTTTTATTTACTACTATTGAACTAAACTTTTTTTCAGGAAAAAGGGAAAATCATTTATAAGGGGGGGTGACATAAAGGGTTAATACGACCAAAAATAGAATAAAAGCTAAGTGACTTGTAAAAATAATTTTTTACACATGTATATATTATTTTTATTTTCTCTAATTTAACATTATCATCTAAATTAATTATCTCTTTTTCATAGCTCAGGGGATGACCTAAAGGGATGAACTTAAGGGTTGACAAAGACCAAGAAGTAGAACAAAAACCAGGTAAAATTATTTGTATATAAATAAATATATGTATAAATAAGAGGAATGTCTATCATAGGAGAATAATTAAATTAAACCAAAATCACATAAAATAATTAGTCAACTATCATGATAAATAAATAAGAAGGGGAGGAAACATCAAATTTGGGCCCTGGGCCCAAATTCTGCTGCTGCAGGTCTTAGGGCATTTAGGCCTATTTTCTTTCCAAAGTCATGATACATTTTTGAGTGTATATTCTATGCATAAGCTGTGTATATTGACGAGTTTTGCGCTCCTGAACCTGAAATTTAAACCAAAACTTTGTATTTTTGCGTTTTTAACTTCCTGGAAACGTTTTCCAACTGCATATTGTATATTCACATTGTATACCAGTGTATACGGGATGTATATCGACCTGTTTTTCGGCTTTTCGGGGACCTGCAAATTAATTCCCAGCAACAAATTTGCTGATTTTGATCTGTACACCAGTTATAACGGGATGGACGACTCGGATACGGTGGTGTGAGCCTTTACGTCTCGATGAGAGGATGCAAATGGATGAAGTAAAGTCCGTAAGGACCCGAAGAAATTTTTTACATGCGATAAAATAGAAATGGGTTAGCATATGAAATAATATAAGAAACAAGATATATATTAAAAGAAAGCAGATATTACTTTTAAAAATAAAGGAAAGCTACTTAAGGGATTTGAATGAGGCTAAAATACATGACTCTAAGGAAGACCAAGTGAATAGCACAAACAAAATCTTTAAAAAAATAAAAAACTCTCTAGACAGTAGCATGTATTGTGCGTGTATGCATACTTAAGAACATACCATGCTCAGGGAACATATAGATAATTCAACTCAAATGTATTAACAGAAAACATGCTGCATATTTATTCCAATGGAACACCTCCTGCCAAAGTCAAGATAATTCATTCGGTGAGATCTTACATTGCTAAATCCAACCTTTTAAACAAAGAGAAAACTAGTAAGATCTTTTTTTTTTCTTTCCCAAACCATTATAAAAGGAAGTAAAATATGACTATGAATAATCAAAACCAAAGGAGTTTATTCCTCCGAGCGAACATGTTATGCATAAATGCAAATAGAGATGAAATAAAGTATAGAATGCAAGGAGATCATTATTAAGCAAAGACACCATATAAGTAGCCGAGAAAGATGGCAACTAAAACTAAGATAGGTATCTTCAAATGTAGACCAAAGGTTGGAAAACTATTGGTATTCTAACTGACAACATCCTCCAAAAAAGGTTTCTACGCCTCAATATATCAAACAATTAATAGATACTTATGATCCAAACCGAAGTTGCGATTTCTAATCTAGGGATGACAGTATGCCATTTTAAGAGCTTCTAATCGAGCACTAGAGCTGGCCAACATACTTATAGAGCAAATTGAACCAAGACAAACAGAAGAGGGAAACAAATGTCCATTTCGGATAAGTTTCACGATATTTCAAGGAGCTGACTACAAATAATAAGCAACTTTCGAGCGAAACAGAGTTAATCCCGACTCGAACAAAGTTCCTATCAAAATGAAGAATGATCTCAAACAAACTGAACTTACACGAATTTACAGAGATGTTTCAAATTCATTCAGTCTCTAAGCATCAAATACGAAAATGTAGCCAAAGGAATCGAATTAAACGACAAATAAGCATGGTTTTGACCTCCTTAGAAAATATCAACTAGACCAAAGTAAACAACAGAGACACACATTTTTGAAATGTAGATCATGAAATCATTACTGATCCATAGCCTTCACAAGTAACTAGTTGAGACAGTAAGGAAATAAGAAGATTAAAGTAGTGCACAAGCAAGGGTTCGGGGCCAAATGAAACATCAAAATTTCAACGAGGACGTAAACACACAACCTCATGGGCTAATAGGCAGATTGGTTACTGCTTTGCAGCTAATAGTGAGTAAAAAATTAATACAAGCAACTCACACAGTCGATAGTCAAACGAGCAAAACAGGGATATCTAACCAGCTTTGAAAGCGCCAACTTCCGACGACTCAAAGAAAACCCCGGTGAACGAAGAAACAAGCAAGGCACTCAAACAAGGCCTAAACTCTCACTTTTTTTTTTTTTTTTTGCTTCTGAGAACTTATCCTCAAATAATTGCAGCTGATAGTTTACTATATTTTCCTCTCAAATTTCAACTATTCACCAAGCAAAGTTTTCTGTCAGCGAAAAAAATTTCCCCCTTTTACAATGAAGCGAAAGAGAATATACATAGGGGTTATTAGGGTTCGATTATTGGGGGAAATTGAGTGAGGATGGGTCCAAATTCGAATTTCAAAGTCCAAATCTCTTTCACAAATTGAGGGAGACACCGTTTCCTGACGATTCGGCTCCATTCCGGAAGAGGAAAGGAAACCAAAGGCTTGGATTGACTCGAGCGTCCTTGGCGAACGATGTGGCCCCATCTCAAGGCCACAAGGACGGATTTGCAGCTGCTGGTACGAAAAGACGAGAGGAACGTTGAAGAAAGGGACAAAGAATTATCTTACTGGTCTCTACTTTGGGGCGTTATTTTTTGGGAATTGTCACGCTATTCTGCGTCTCTTTTGGGAAGAGATTGGGGCTGGATCGGGTCTATTGGAATGGGCCGCGTTCAAGGGGAGTTGGGCTGACTGAATCACGAAAAAGAATTTGCTGGAAATTAATTCAAGAGAAAATTTTTCAAAATGTTAATATTTTAGCGTTTAAGAGGACTCATTAGCAATAACTTTCATATTTAGTAAAAATGTCATTTTAGTTTGTTATGTATATTTTTATTATTTATTTTTATTTAAAGAATATAATTATTTAATAACAAAAAGGAGAAAATTAAGGGGGGAATATTTCAAAAAAAGGCAAGCATCCTTAATTTTTTCATCATTTATATTTTCAAATAAAATTTAATTTTTTTTTCTCCAGAATTGTTACCTT